TCATCTGTTGAGTGGCAGTACTTTGAATTGTTAGAACACAGGCCTGAGGTTAAACCTGTCTCAGTTCAAATCCCAGCTTCACTGCTTATCAGCTGTGTGGCTCAAGAGGAACTGCTTTAAGGCAGGGGCAGGTCCAGCAAGACCCTAGCAGTGCCTTCTATCTCCACCACAATTTACCATATTATCTACTTTCAGTCTAAAGGCAGATCCTTAGCTCTCTGCTCAGTAAACCCAAGCCACCTCTGGTTACAAAATTCAACAATTTTCTTTTTCCCCTTAAGGTAAGCTCACCCATTGGGAAAGCCATTTCTGTACAACAGCCAATGTGAATACTCAGCTACTACTATTCTTAAGGCATTTCTTGGTCCACTTGACAAAGTTTCTAAGGTCTTGCGGCTTCATGTTTCTTTGGCCAGCTAGGTTTCTGAATGGTACTTCCCTCACCATCCAAGGTGTCCCAGAAACCTTTAGCCTAGATGCTTTCCTGGGTTGGTTCCTCTTCCTTCTTACAGCAGCCTGAGACACAAGCCCTTAGTGTCCAGATTTTGCAATACAGTGAAACACTTGGAATCTTTCCTCCAAAAAGGAAAAAAAAAAAAAAAAGCTTGTGTGCATTACATGAACTACAGCAGTCGTCATCATCAAAGCAGGGTCCAAATCCTAGGTTGGCTGACCCCAGAAATTGGATTGACCAAGCAATTTTAAGCTGTGGAACTAAATGCTCACCAACCTGAATGATTCTTCCTTAGCCAAGAGGTCTCTAAAATCCCAAGTCTGGCACCACCCTTTCCCCAGTGGCTTACGGTCTTTCTGATGATTCTGTCCTAGGTGCCAAGGAGAAGTGCAAAGAACCTCTGGCCAAATCCAGCCTCTTGCCACCTACGAACTCACTACCTAGTTAGGAAGACAAGAAAAACAAACAAAAAAAAGTAAAGGAAATCAGGTGCTTTAAAAAACAAATGCCTGCTATAAGAGGAGACAGCTTGGCCTCAGGAGTTGAGATATACAAATGAAGTCAGGCCTTTGAGTGTGAGTAGATTGGAGTTACTCACAGCAAGTGTTCCAAAGTGGAGGTGATAGGACTGTGAGTTCAGAAAACTCACTAGACAAGCAAGGGAGGGACAGATCAACCTTCTACGTGGGCTATGGAACTTTCTTTTTTTCAAGACCAATTTATTCTCATTTTGCCAAAAGAATTTCCTTGAAGAAAAGTACATTAATCTTTCAATTTACTTTAACACCTTTTGCTTAAAAATTTGAAGAGAGCAGCTATGAGGTGGCAAACATGCCGGAGGCTGCTCCCTGCACCCAAGGAGGTGACATGGTAGCCATACCCATGATGCCCCAGGTCCCAGAGCGTCTCTGCACTCTATTCCAACTGGCCGTCCAGCACGGAGCTAGGCCCACATCCTTCCTGGCCTCTGCATCTTGACCTGGGCTGAGGCCGTGAGCGCAGCTCATTCTGGGTAATGCTCATGCCAGATCTTCCCAAGTTAACAGTCGCCTCCCTTCTTCCTCCACTCATCACTGACACATTTCTACATTCTGCTATGAAAATGCAGGGCCATCAAATGACTTAGGCCAGCTAGGAAAGGACTAACATTTTAGCTGACAGGCTTCAGGTTGTCCTCAAACACACATTGCCGTGCTAGAGTACTGCCAAGTGTCAGCCTATTAATCATTCAAACAGTCATGGGTCAGAACACTGAGCACAGACACAGCCTCTCTTCTTTCTGCCAGCTAAAGACACAAATGCGACAACACATAAAGTCCTGAACTTTACTCTGGAAGGTTTTTTGTCAATGCAGTTGCTTGTCAATACAGTGATTCTGAAACTTGTGTTATTCATAGCATTGAGTAAATGAGTAAAATATACTGAAGATAATAGGAGTGGGTTTTTGGCTGTGGGAAAAGAAGCATATGATGGTACCTCAAAAAATTCATGGAAAGATTCGTATTATCTTTTACTTCTATTTTTCTATGAAGTTTTCGAAGTATGCTCATAAACATTGAATG